AGAGAAGTTGCGACGAATAGGACTATAACCTCCGTTGCTTCGAGTCACTTCTTCATCTTTGAGACCGTCCAACATTCGCTGCCGTAAAAAAGGACAGATGTTACTGACAAATTTGTCAGGTTAATTATTTTTCTAAGACAAAATTGTTGTGTTCACCTGAAAATTAAATTTGTTACTTGTTAAGTGAAAAACGCTAAACTTATGTACTGAGCGATTTTTAAATTTTATAATGTAAACATGCACACGTATTAACGTCAAGGAAGTTAACAAAGTTATTGAGATGTTTAACTATTTTTTTAAATATTTAAAGCTATGAGTTAAAACCTAGATATTTTTAAGTTATCTAATATATATATATATATATATATATATATATATATATATATAGATAGATAGATAGATAGATAGATAGATAGAGAAGTCCTATGAACGAAAAATGTCGGGTCACAAATTTCACTGTTTAGGAAAAAATAAAAACATGTATAGCAATTCAAACACGTTTGATCACTACAAATAGAGTACATTAATATCTATCTATCTATCTATCTATCTATCTATCCAACTCAATAAATAAAATTAAATGTCAAACTTATCTGTCCCTACTCAGAGTCTTGCGGAGATATTATCCACTAATCAGGTTCTTGATAGAAAAAATTGAATTTATTTACAGAAATTATATTTTAGTTTCCTGAGGATCTGTGTGTGTGTGTGTGTGTTGTGTTTGTATGTATGTATGTATCTATCTATCTATCTATTTATCTATCTATCTATCTCAGTCTGTTCAGTATCTATCTATCTTAGTCTGCTCATTCTCTATCTATCTATCTATCTATCTATCTATCTATCTATCTATCTATCTATCTATCTATCTATCTATCTGTTTCAGTTTCTTCATACCTGTTTCATTTTATTCATTCTTTTCTTTCTTTCTTTCTTTCTTTCTTTCTTTCTTTTTAGCTATCAGGTTTGATTGCAATCTGTTGAGGAAATGTGAACTCTCACAGTGTCTGAATATTTGTTCACTTTCTAACCACATTCAATCGTTTATACAGTTCTACGCAGACCCCAAGGGAATACATTCGATTTTCATCGGACCGTCTCTCTCCCAATCAAATCTCTCAGTGTGTTTTTGTTTTCACGAAATTTTTTTCATCTTTTTTCCCCTTTCTCCATTTTTTCCTCATTGTAAGAATTTTTCCATTTTCTGTTGATGCAATTTTCCTTTTTCGATTCAGGAAAGTTTTATTCGTAGCTTCTTGTATTTCTTTATAATTTTATCAATCTGTCTCTCTCCTCTCTCTCTCTCAATTCTCAATCTCTCTCTCTCTCTTTCTCTCTCACTCTCCTCTCTCTCTCTCTCTCTCTCTCTATATATATATATATATATATATATATATATATATAGAACTTTTTCTAAACAAAACCAAATTAAACCAAAAATATGAAAAATAAAGAAAACAGCATCAGCCTGCAACAATAAATCCAAAAACTTTAAACTCTGTCTGGGGCGTGAGTGGGTATATAGCTCTACTTAATGAATTTCCGTGTGATCTATATAATTCATTGAGATCCACACCATCAGATGAATATTGAGGGTGGGATAGGACTCTGATTCTTTGCTATATCGTTCTTGCCAGGTGGGTTCTCCGGATTATGAAGTCTTGGGTTATTCTGCATCAGGATAAACCTACTTGTTGGCCCAAATTCTTCTTTATACTAAAGTTTACTCTGGACACAGATTGAGTGCCGCTCAAGGTAGAGGTTATGTTAAAATTGAAAGATGAGAAAAACAAATCACGATTGACATTTTACACACACACACATATATATATAGAGAGAGAGCGAGAGAGAGAAGGACATCAGTTGAGAGAAGAAGTGAGTAAAATGTAAGGAGGGAGAGAGAGAAGGAGGGAATTAAAGAAGAAGTGAGTAAAAGGGAGAGAGAGTGAGTAAGAAGGAAGGGGGGAGAGGGAAGCGTTAGAAAGAGAAATAGTGATTAAGAGAGAAACAGAGAGAGTGAGAAGTGAGTAAGAGGGAAAGAGGAAGATTGATTTTTTTTACGGCATATCAACCTTTTCAAGGTTATTTAACGCCAGAAGATATTTTTAGATTGTAAGAGTTCTTTGGGAGATGATAAGGATTTAATGATACAAGTCGTACTAATTAACCCATATTTGGGGAGGAGAAGAGGTGAATTCATACCTTTCTTAATGGTATCTGCGCGTAAGTGACTAAAATGAACCCGATTGGAAATAGAACTCGGCTCTTCGATTTCCAATTCCGACCCGTTTTCCATTACACCACCCGCACATCCAAGCATACAGCAAATCGGTATTTCCAAGTGGTCACCCATCACCAGGCTCGACATTTCTTACCCCCAGTGATCGTGCGAGAACCGGTGTTTCATCGTGATCCGGTCGTAATTTCACGGAAGGAGGGAGAGAAACATAAATGAAGAGAAAGGAATAAAAAGAGAAAGAAAGAAAGAAAGAAAGAAAGAAAGAAAGAGAGAGAGAGGGTGATGGTGGCATGAGTCCAGCTATGTCTGTATTCATCTCTAATTGTAAATCTTCCTAATATTCTGATTTAGAATCTTTTAATAACAACTTACCTGCCTCAGTGTCTCGCCCCAAGCTCCTTGACGGCCCACAAAAGCAATCATCATAAATTCATTTCCACACGATTGCATATTTGTAAAGAGAGCACCGGGGTGGGGTAGATAATCATTTATTTTTTGTTTTTACTTATATGTTTTCCTGTCCGTGCATGCTCATGTACCTCAGTCCTTTCATCTACTCCACCCATACCTAGATATACGTTTTAATTTTCGAGTGCATGTCAGGTCTGTGTTGTGAAGTGGATCTGATATTGTGTACGAACGAAGGTTTTTTTTTTTCATAAGTTATATACCGAACCTAACAACAAAAATGTCCAAATCGTGTAACAGCAAAATTGTCCAATTGATAGATTAAGCTTTGAACCGTTGTATCTTAGAAATGATTAAAGATATCTTACTGGAACTCTACGAGGTTTTTATAAAACTATTGGACTCTACTTTGAACAATAAGAATGTATTTAGTTCTAAGTTGAAATGATGATTACTCTTGCTGTTGTGACCTGATTCAGTTTTCCTTTCCACTGTTCCCTTTTTTTAAAACTTATTCCCTGTTCTCCTGATAGTTCTTGAATGGACTTTGAAGATGGAAGCCAGAGTATGAATGTTGGTAACATTACTAAAGGCTTGAATGATCTTTTTCCTCTCATCACTGCTCAATTGGGGCTAACACAAAATGATTTTAACCTGTTTTCTTTCTGAATAACTCAAAATGTTTTTCAGTGATTCTTACGACACATGGTGTCAGTATGGCTAAATGTCTTATCTAAAAACCTGGAAAAATATACTCAGTTTAGTGTTTTTTAGGTATTAAATATTTTGTTGGATGGACAATTATCTCATGGGATAACACGTTTTAGACAATTTTGGTGTTACACCCGCTATATATATATATATATATATATATATATATATAGTCCAGTAGTCCAGTCTCTTTGTCTATTTATTAATCTATTTATCTATCTCTGTTGAGAGAGAGAGAGAGAGAGAGAGAGAGAGAGAGAAGATGGAGGAAATAAGTTATACAATTTAGGTAACGACATCTGTGTTGTGTATCTGTCATTGTGTACGAATGCGTATATTTGTTTGCGTAGGATATATATATATATATATATATATATATATATATATATATATATATATATATATATAGAGAGAGAGAGAGAGAGAGAGAGAGAGAGAGAGGGAGTTAGATAGACAGATGTGGAGGAAATAAGTTATACAATTTCGTTAACCGCGTCTGTGTATCTGTTCTTGTGTATAGACGGGTGTTTTTTTTTCAGGGGATAGATAGATATAAACAAACTCAGATAGATAGATAGATAGATAGATAGATAGATAGATAGATAGATAGATAGATAGATATGGTTGAAAGGAAGAAGAAATACATTTGGAAAGATCGGGTCCCACGCCATCGTCCGTTGTGCTACGGCTGTCCGTCTCATTTGCTAGTGACCCTCGTGTACACAAGCCGGTCACATATGACCGATCATGTATTCATTGCCAGTAGCCAGAGAGTGAAATCTCCGCCCTACAAACAAGAACGTTCCTCCTTTTACGTTTTCATTCATTTCTACCTGTTCGCTTTCTTATTTATTTATTTGTAACTGTGTTGTTTCTCATAGAAATAATCACATAATACAGATTTGACGCTAGAATAAGCTTGCTACTGACTCGATGTGCGCAAAGGTCACTTGAGGATAGACATATGAGCGACACCAGGTACAACAGGTCTTGTCTTTGAAAGTCGTTAAAGAAAAAAGCTTGAAGAAGATAAAGAAGAATAAAAAAGAAGTAGAAGAAGAGGATGAAGAAGAAAAAGAAGTTATAATTATAATGATAATCGTCTGTGTTCCGTGTTCCTACAATTATAATCTTCTATGTGCTGTCTCCTTCATAACGTTGGCGATCATGGCTCTCCACAACTTCCTGTCCTTTGTAATTCTCAATAAATTTTCTCCTTTCCTCATTTAAACCCTACTCCGCCATCCATTGACACAAGCTCGACAGGTAAGTTATGCGTTGTTTTCCTCTATCCCTCTTGCTTTCGATCTGCCCTGTGAGTATAAGATTTTCCAAGCCCTCTTTCCTCATTTCAATATGGGCCCTAGAAATGTCAACTGTCTCTTCTCGGTGTGAACTATAAGTGTCCTTTTTGTTTCCATGATCTATAGAACTTCGTCGACCAACATCTTTCTCCTTGCCCACTTTGGCGCTCAGGTCTCCAGTGACGACTGTAATTTCTGATGTCATAATACAGAACTGAAGACCTTATTGAACACAAAATTCATGGTGCTAACCTGGGAATTGTCTCGAAGAGTTTGGTAATGAGGCTGGCAGACCTAGGAAGCCGAACACGGTTAATTCCTAACGCTGTTAAAATCAGTTAGAATACTGAAGAAAGTACTAATAGAAAAGAAGAAAGGAAAAAGAAAAAGAGAAAGAAGAAAAAGGTAAGTAACGAGAAAAAGTAAGAAAGGAAAGTAAGAAAGTAAAAGAAAGGTTTACGTAAAGAGAGAAAGTAAAAAATGAAAAATAGATGAACAAAGAAAGAAGAAAAACAAAGTCCAGAAGAGTGGATGTAAAAAGAGAAGGGGAAAAAATGGAGGAGATGAATAGGAAAGAAAAGAGTGGATGCAAGAAAAGAAAGGAAGAAAAGAAAGATAAGAAAAGAAGAGGATGTGTAAAGAAACAAAAGAGAAGAAAGCGATGTGCATGAAGAAAGAAGAAAAAGATAAAAAGGAAAGTGGAGGGAGACAAATGAAGAAAGAATGAACGAGAAAAGATAAATGTGGAGGAAATAAAAGCTTGTCGTCGTCGTCGACAAAAATTGATTACAATTAAATTTATTATATTCGGATGCGTTCCTTGCTTCTTCCTATTATGTGGATATTAAAATTCTTTCTAACGGAACAAGTTATAAGGATATTTTCTGCTGAAGGTAGCTGATTAATTGCAAAACAGAAGGCATTTTATTTAAAACGATATTACTTGTCTTTCTTAAGACGAATACACTGTGCAAGTCGCCATTTAAAAAAAAAAAAAATTGAAATGAAAAGTTAAGAAAAAAACGGAAAGAATTCTTTGAAGTAAAATGAAAGAAGAATACATGAATGAGAAGAAGAAATTGACGGAGAAAGAAAGAAAGAAAGAAAGAAAGAAAGAAAGAAAGAAAGAAAGAAAGAAAGAAAGAAGTAAAAAAAATGAGAAGAATAAAAGCCGGATAAGAATGAAACAAAGACGGAAAGGTGAACGCGAAAAAAAAAAAAAATAATAGAAAGAACGCAAGAAGAACAAAATGCGGATGAGAAGAAAGGAAGAAAATAGAAAGAAAGACGAATTGAATAAATTTGTGAAAGAAAGACAGAAAGGTAAACGAGAAGAATATCAGAAAGAAAGAAGAATAAAGTCAGACGTAAAAAAAGCGTGAGGAGAAAAAATAAATAAAGAATAATGAATGAAAGAATGAATGAATGAAAGAATGAATGAATGAAAGAATGAATGAATGAAAAATACATGAAGGAAGAAATGAACGATGGATAAAAAAAATTGAATAAAAAAAAGATAGCAGAAAGAAATAGGAAGGAAAGGTGGATGTGAAAAATTATAAAAGAAAGAAGAAAGGTTACTATTTTTCAAGTAAAATGTCTATTGTTACCCCAACCTGACGCATTTCTATAACCGAACATTTTAAGCCTTTAACTGCTGTACAATCATTTCAGTTCACATTTTGCAGCGTTAACTTTAATTTTCAGGGCAATTAGTAAACATTTTTGAGCTTTTTCTTTCCTTTATTTTTTTCTGGATTATTTTAAATGTGTCTATGCATTGCTAAAATAATAGTTTCAGGGGAAACAAAATGGCGTACATATATATTTTTTAACTTTTAGAAAGTTCCTTTTCTGTATGGTAGATTTCAAAGCCTGGTACAGTGTCTCACTCAAGATCACAGTCATTACAAATATCTGACGTATCTATTATTTTTTTCATTTAGTCGCACAAACGCAACATCGAAGGGAATATCTTCCTAATTTTCCTTTTTTTATAGGGTGAAGGAAAAAAAATTAAATTAACCTAACATCTTTTTTTCATTTATTAGTTTGAGAAAGCGATACCATGATGATTCGCTGAGTCATAGAAAGCACTGAATTTCCATCAATCATAATAAAATGGAAATTTTCGTTATTCGCATTGATTTGCAGTACATATGAAGATACGCAGTTGATTTGTTCGTTTTCTACGGCTTATCAACCCCTTACGAATTACGGGTTATTTATAACCAGAAAATATTTTTAGAGTGTAAGAATTTTTTTAGATAATATTGATTTAGTGTTGCAAGACTTACAAATTAACCCATAGCTGGGTTATTGGGAACGGGAATTGGAACTCGGCTCTTCGATTAATAATTCCAAACCATTGTCCATTACACCAACCACACAGCCACGCTTACAGCACCTGGTATTCATGAAGGGTTACCTATATTAACTAGGCTCGACGTTGCTTAACTTCAGTGATCGTACGGGAACTCGGCTCCCCGATTAGTAATTCCAAGGCATTATCCATCACATCAACCGCACAGCCACGCTTAGAGCACCTTTTATTCATAAAGGGTCACCTATATTAACCAGGCTTGATGTTGCTTAACTTCGGCGATCGTACTGTGGCCGTAAGCCAGACGAAGACTTGAAGCGGCTGAAAATTAGTTTTGAAAATGTATATCGTGAACAGAATATGTGATCGATAATTTTTTTTCAGATGAATAGAAATTACAAAGAAACTGTTGCTAACAATCAAAAAAGAATGTTTGGAGAATTTAACACTCACAAGGCACATAGAAATTTTCTTTCATCGATTGATTTGTATTTAACGCCTCATCAACCCGTTAGGTTTCATTTAAAGTCAAAACAATTTTTGGATTATAAAAATAATAATAATAATTTTCCAGACAAAAGTCCGACTATTTAACTCATAGCTGGTGGGGATGAAATAAATTCGTACCTTTCACAAGGACATTTGCGCGTTAGTGGATATAACGAAGCTGACTCGAATTCGGACTCGGTTCTCTGATGTGATATTCCGAGCCGCTGTCTATTACACCACCCATACATACATCCACATAAAAAGTAAAAGAAACTGAGGAATGAAGCGGATAACTTAAAGTATGAGCAAATGGAGAGAGGAACAAATAGGAGAAAGCAATTTCTGGAAGCAATGAAAAGTAAGAAACTGCAGAAAGAGATGATAATCATTTCAGGTTGGGGGGGGGGCAAAGCGCATAAAGGGAAAGTAATGTGCGACTATTAGAAAGTTTCTTTTATCCTTAGTTGAGGCAAAAGAACTGAAAAGAGTGAAATTACCGTTTTCCACAGCTGAGCCAAATAATTGTAACGACTGATAATTCAGCCAAAGAATTGCAAGGACTTATATTCCAGTGATGTACAAGCGTGCCAAAGAATTGTAGGGACGGATATCTCCGTAATCTGCAGTAAAACCAAAGAATTATAAGGACTGACATTCGCGTCATCTGCAGTTGTGCTAAAGAATTGTAATTGTCCGATGAGCCAAAAAAAAAAAGTCAAAGACTCTTATTCCCTTCATCAGCAGTTGAGCACAAGAATTGTAAGGATTTATATTTTTTGTCATCCGCTGTTGTTAATTGTAAGAAGTAGTATTCCCGTCATTTGTAGTTGAATTGTGAGGAGAGATATTCCTGTTATCTGCAGTTGAGCCAAAGAATTGTGAGGAGAGATATTCCCGTTATCTGCAGTTGAGCCAAAGAATTGTAAAAAGGAATATTCCAGTTATCTGCAGTTGAGCCAAAGAATTGTAAAGAGTGATATTCCGGTTATCTGCAGTTGAGACAAAGAATGGTAAGGAGAGATATTCCCTTTATATACAGTTGAGCCAAAGAATTGTAAGGAGAGATATTCCGGTTATCTGCAGTTGAGACAAAGAATTGTAAGGAGAGATATTCCCGTCATCTTCAGTGGAAGCAAAGAATTGTAAGAACTGCGGTTCTGTTTTGTAGTTGAGCCAATGAGTTGCAAGGAATGGTATTCCACTCATCTGCAGTTGAGCCAAAGTATCGTAAACACTGATATTCTCGTCATCAGCAGATGAGGCAAAGAATTTTAAGGACTGACATTCCCGTCATTTGCAGTTAAATATTTGTAAGAACTGATAATTCCGTTCTTCGTAGATTGAGTCAAAGTATTATAAGCACTCATATTCTTGTCATCCGCAAATGAGCTAAAGAATTCTAATGACTGATATTCTCGCCATTTGCAGTTGAGCCAAAGAATTGTAAGGACTGATATTCCCGTCATTGATGTAGCATACCTAGAACGATAATGGGTATGTCCCCATTCCCATAAATACAGTAGTAAATACTGTATGTTGGTCTGCAGTCGGAGATTCGTCTGCAAACTCTTTGCCTCCGTGCAGAGAGGATATTCACACGAAGCTATGTCGGAGGGCAGAGTCTCGTCTCGGGAAACAGCTACCCGACACCGTTTTATACGGGGTCTACGGGGAATTATTGGCCGAGCCTACAGGTGCAGATATTCCACATTAAATTCGACCTTGTACCACATCTGGCCGCGTGGGGTGGTTGATAGATATCCTGCAGTTGGAGATTCATTGTGGAATTCACTTGACTCACTTCTAGCAGTTGACTACTTCTACGCACCGTTGTCGAATCTTATATGTGTTATTCTTGTCCTAAGTATTATCGTTCATTACCAACCTTCGTTTGATTATTCTATTCAGTAACTTTCCCTGGGTTACAACAATGCGGTAATGGAAAAACAAAAAAGATCTGGCAATAATTTATGTTTAATAAATATTTTTTATTCATGTTTTTTACAAGAATTCTATAGATTTAAAAATTGCCATTTCATTTTCTATGAATTTAGAATAATAAAAAAACAAGACAAAGAGTTTGCGTTTTTTTTTACATTTCTCTGTATTTTTTGAAAAACAAATAAAAAAATAAGTGATTACTCCAACTATATGTGAAGACCTAATAATTACAAAAAGAAAAAAGTCAAAAATGAAAAGTGGAAATCCAATAAAAGTTTCCTACTGTTTGGGCATAAGATTGACAACAATGGGCAGGCTATTTACATTATTTACATTGAGACTAACATCCTCATCTTTGTTATCGTATTGCTACCGACCCTATATGATATATCAATGAAGGATAAAAACAATAAAGATGAGGATATTAGTCTGAATGTAAATAATGATAAATCCTCATCCCAGAAATTCAGACAAAATTGGGCGTGTTGTCCTTATTTATTCTTTCTGTCTGGCTTTCTTTCTGTGTGTATGTATGTGTGAGTGTGTGTGTGTATGTGTGTGTGTGTAAGGGGGGTTGTCTATTAATAGAATGGAATCGGAGCCAGAAAGTGAAAAAAATAAAAACGAAAGAAAGAACTGCATATGCTATGGTACCTATACTAACAACTGGTGTCCAACATATATTCATAATAGAATATAGCTGATTTCTTAAGGACAATGAAGATTCAAAAGAGGGGGAACGCTGTTTTCATAGATTGATTTGTTTTTTTGTTTTTCGGCCTATCAGCATTTTGCCGATTATTTAAAGCCAGAAAATAGTTTTATATTGTTAAAAAAAGAAAAAAAATTGATGAGATAATAATGATTTACTGATACAAGTTTTACTGATTAAGTCATAGCTGGGGAAATGAGGTGTATTCATACCTGTCGCAAGGGTATTTGCACATAAGGGAATGTAATGAACTTGGCCGGAATTAGAACTCGGCTCTCAGATTTCCAATTCCGAGCCGCTATCCGTGGCTCCTTGCATTCGTTCATTTATTAATTCATTGTTTCTTGTTTACAGTTCGTTCGTGTGTTCGCAAAATAATAATAACAATATTAAAAATATTATTAATAATAATAATAATAAACATGATAAAAAAAATTCTTTTTTCTTTTTGTAGCTTTCTTATTGTCTTCCTTACATCAATTTATAAAAAAATTCTTTCTTGGTATCGGTTTTTCTCTCTTTCTCACTTTCTTTTAATTTCTATAATTTTTTTCTTTCTTTCTTTTTTCTTTCCTTCTTTCTATATTTCTTTTTTTTTTATTTGCATCTTTGTTTTCTTTACATTTAGTTTCTTTTCTTTTTTTCTTTCTTTCTTTCTTTCTTTCTTTCTTTCTTTCTTTCTTTCTCCCAGAATAAATTTCAAGAAACCGTTAGAAAGAAAACAGAAGAGAGAAAATTCGAATTTTTGTTTGGTTCTGGTATGTATGTCTTTCTTAAAAATTTTATTTCATTTCAACAAAATACAATTTTTATCAATAAAGAAAAGCATAAATAAAATATTAAAAAATAAAACACACTCCAATACACACTCACACCCATATATATATATATATATATATATATATATATATATATATATATATATATATATATATATATATATATATATATATATATATATATAGTTAAGTAACGAAAATCTTGGTAATCCGTACGGATAATCCTAAGGAGAGCTCAATGTTAAGTCAGAGCGAATAATTTAATTTAAAGAAAAACAAAGCACTTTAAGCCTTAAAGTAGTCTGTTTTTTCTTTAAATTAATATATATATATATATATATATATATATATATATATGTCACATCTAAATATTGGGACTTGACCAAGAGCAATTGTGCATTGCTCTTGGAACAGGTATCACGAAATTGGTTCGAGAATGGCTAATGAAAATCGGGTGAAGGAGAAATTATAAGGTTTTAAAAAATATGGCGTTGTTCTTTCTGCGAGGTGGGTATATCGTGACAAGCCTAAATAGATCCGCTACTCATGATGCGACCTCTAACCTTAAATTCGCCATAATTTTGCTCTAAACGTCGATCGGAATTCGATACAGTAATAAAACTCTGTTTAAATTACGAAGTCAACGGCAGCTGCACCATAAATTATGGTGCTTTGTCGAGGAGAATTTTAAGAAATAAAATATAATAAAAATGGTCACTTACACACATATACATTATATATAATGGCCGAACAGTCGAAATATGACAGTGATAGACGGAATGTTATTTTTGCTATTCTTTTGCTATTTCTTATATATGGATATAAACCACACACACACACACACACACACACACAAACAGGCACACACACAAACAGGCACACACACACACATATATATATATATATATATATGGATATAAACACACACAAACAGGCACACACACACACACACACACACACACACACACACACACACACACACACACACACATATATATATATATGGATATAAACCACACACACAAACAGGCACACACACACACATACATATATATATATATTACTTTAAACCTTATTTCAGTGGGTACACGTGTTTGAGTTGAGAACATTGTATTTTTTTTTAATTTTCTTATAGAGTCAAGTTAATAACAACCGGCCCAGAGCGACAGGAATGAGGCCTATGGCCATTTTCATTTTCGCTGTGACCAATTTAGCTGCAGGAGACCAACTTCATTAGTCAAAGCTCAGTTACTTATTTAAGAAATGCATCTGTCGGGATTCCTGGTGGGAAGTTTATTTTTCTGTAGTTGGACTTCTAGGACGGTTGATATTTATTTCACATTTTTTTTTCAGATAAAAAACCAGGAATGTCACCTCAATCATGTGCTCCCACTATTGATGCTTGCCGTAAAAAAATTATATATATATATATATATATATATATATATATATATATATAGGAAAAGGTTATAGCTGTTCCAACGAGAGAAAAATGTATATTTTTTTAAAAAAGAAAGCTGCAAACGTTTTTGGTTATAATGTGGATTTGTTTTAGTACCTATGTATTATATTTTATTCTTCATATTTTTGCTACACGGGTTTCCGGTCTCGTAACCTTCTTCATGTAAATAAAAGGAATAAATTTTTTAAGGAATAAATTGTCTTTATGTTCTTTTAATGTTAAGGAAAATTTATTCCTTTCAAAATTTATTCTTTTATTTGCTTGAAGAAGGTCACGAGACGGGAAACACGTCTCACAGAAATATGAAGGATAAAATACAATATATACACTAAAACAAATCCACATAATAACCAAAACTTTTGCGGTTTCTCTTATTTAATTTATATATATATATATATATATATATATATATATATATATATATATATATCAAATAGTGCACAATGCCTGACGAATGCTACCAACATGAAACTCAGAGTTGCAAGGAACGGTAAG